CGGAAAGATTACCTTGTGCATGCCAAAAGTTTTTTTTCCGCACATTCGTAGGAAAAAAACGGATCATCTTAGTTTTAGGTTTCAGGTGTCTAGAAAATGGCAGAGATTATCCTGTTTTCAATCCCTAGTAGGACTGCTCATTGAGCTAAAAGTCTCTACACTGCTATGTCAGCTGCATACCTCAACTTTTGGAGTGAAATTCCTAAACGTTAAAATCTTGTTGCAATCACCTTTTCTATATTTAAAACATTAAAAATCGACGAAAAAATCAAATAACGAGCACAGCCTGAATCGCAAGTCTTCGATCGAGGTCTGCGGGTGACGTCATCACTATTAGCATCTGAGACGACGTCACTCGCAGACCCTGCCTCCTCAAGAATTTATGAACCTACGCCTTATTAGAAAGAGCAATCCTGTTTACGATTGTTGTATAAAAATGTCGAAAATTCCAACAAAATCCAGAGAGGCTTTTTCTCGCGTCTCAAATGTTTCAAAACATTTTTCAAAACTGGTTTAAGTAATGTCACCATGACGTCATAATTTCTCGGCGCGAGAAAATGGTTTGAAAATGTGGATTGGATTGTATTTCGAAACGGTTTGAACCAAATTTGACGTGACGTCATAGGTTTATCGCGAGAATGTACTCTTTCAAAACAGTTTTGAACCAATTCCAAAAAAGTGGACGCGAGAAAACGCCTCACTCTTTCATTGCACAAACAAACTAGCATCTGCAAAAAGTTTCTTTCTGACGATTGAAAAATAAATAATTCTCGTCAAAAATCATTTTCTGTAACTTGAAAACATTACCTACATATTTTAAAAACTGCTGATTTCATCACTCGTTAAACAATAAACATTGTCCGCACATGTTAGGAAAATCTAACTCAAACAAAATAATATACTTTGACGTCAATTTGGCAACGCAGCACTCCTTGCCTTAACCTTTTAAGGCGATTTTCAGCCTGGAATGATTATTTAGCGGTAAATACCGTGGTTATTCTTTTGGTTGACAACTTTGACAGCCAAGTGTGATGTCATAGCCCCCCACCATTCAAGAATCATAACCCAAGGAACTGACCGCTGAAATGATTTGGTTATAGCAGTGTAGGATTAGGTTTATTGTTCTTATTTGTTTTTTCGTTTCAACAATAGTTTTTTGTTTAGGTACAAAAAATGGAGTTGAATATCTCGTTAGTGTCGTTTATCGAACAGATTTTCTTTGGGGATGATCTAAACCTGGATCTAAACATGGTGAATTGCAGTGAGTGAGTGAATGTATACTTCTTTCATTGTGCCAGGCTACAACGCAACTGCAAAATCACAAAACACCAATACAAATTCCAAAAATAATAACAATAACATCAAAAAGCTATAACCAAAAGATTAACCCAAGTCCAAAGCTGGGTTATAATCGGTTATAAGTGGTAAATACCAAAAGCAAATCAGCCGATATGTGACGTCACAACTTCCCCTACTTTGGTTAAAACCGCGACGGCGGAAATGCGTTGGTTATAACCAAATAATAATCATTCCAGGCTGAAAATCGCCTCTAGAATTGTTTTGGGGCTAGCACCAAGCTCTTGTAGTATTAATTAGGGTCAGTTTGAAATTCATTTTCAAAAACGTGAAAACAAATTTCGTTTGTGAGAAATTAGTTTTCGTTACTTTGAAATCAATTTTCATTTGAGCGAAATTAGATTTCACTAATGTGAATTTAGTTTTCATTAATTTGAAATACAATTTCGCAAGTGTGAAATAATCCTGAAATGGTATAGTATTATGACGTCTGACGTTTGTGGTGTGTCCGTACGTATAGCTCCGGAGCTCAACGCTCCGAGTAGCTCCGAGCATCACACTCCCATACTGGGAAAGCGGCTCAGATTGTACAGACCCCCAATCAGTTCAGTCACAAATATGCTCTAAATGCAATCCCAATGACTAAAAAGTTTTTTTTATCCCTAAGCGGTCCATAATTTGAGCTTTATCCATTATGTTCCTAGGACTATAATAGTATATAGTCAAAAGTGGAATTCATTAACTTTATAAAATCTATATTCGACCAAAATTATTTAAAATAATCTGACCATTTACACATTTGAGACCAAATTTTCGCGACGAATGTAGTTCATCCAAGGACGAACCATAGTTCCTCCTGTGAGGTCATGGGTTTGAACGCTCGCTAGAAGCTGCGTCCATGCTTTCGACGAACTACGTTCAATATGACGTTATGGTTTCTCGCGAAAGCGTTTGTGTTCATTATGAACAGTTCATATAGGTTTTTTTATGTTACATTTAGGATGACGTCATCGAACAAGGACTGACAATGTTGTCAATGCTTATTTTCTTTCTTATAATTCAGAATGTTATGTGTCAATAATTCTGACAGCTGAAAATAACCAAATGAAAATGTTTATATAAGTGATTATGCAACGTCGCGCGCCGTTGCCAACCAAAAACATCTGAAATTCCCCTACTTTAAATGCGTCAAAAAGTTCTTTTTGTTTTGTTAGGTTGGCAGCAGAAATTTACTAGATGTGACGTCATCCTAAATATACCCTAAAAATCCTATAAAATCATGAGCTGGGTTCGGCTATTCAGCGCGGAGTTGGAGTGGAGTGAATAGAGCTAATGGAGTCACCCCTAATACGGTAAAAAGCAATACCCGAATTAACCCGAACGGCTGGAGTACGAATGGAGTCACTCTCGAGTGCACGGAGTGAGCAAGCCGAACCCATCTATGGAAGTAGTTCGTCGCGGAAATTGACCTTTTCCCAACATCTACGTCATCAATTTTCAAATTTCAAAATGACCATAAATGAGCGCGAAATTCAAATATTCAAAGGACCCCGCAATATTTAATCGGAAATTGGTTACCCGTGATATTTGGATGAAATTTAAATATGTTATTAGAAATGTCGTAAGCAACATTTTTTACCATGGGCGCAACCTTGTATTGCCGACAGGTCGGCTGTCCCATGTAGAAACACAGTAACTGACATTTTTTGAAAAAATGTGTTTTCCCAATTTTTGTAGTTACTGGGTACCATTTCACATAATTCGCTATTAAAATTGGTAAAAACTCAAATATTTAAACATATTTTGTTAGAATAAAACACAGTAACTATCTCATTCAAGCTAAATAATCTAGATTAAAACACAGTAAATGCCAATATCTGTTATTAAACCCAGTAACTGCTTCACAGTTACTGTGTTTCTGAGTGGTAAATGCACTTACTGAAAAGTTCCAATAATATTTTTGAATTTTTCCTACTCAAAAACACAGTAACTGAAAGCATTTGCAGTTACTTTGTTTTTTGTAGGAAAATTAAAGTATTTTTTGTGATATAGTCACAAAGTATTGGATTTTACTGTCTTTTTGCTTAGGATTTAGATGAATATATTTCTGAAATAAAAACTGTGAGTGCTCTTACTATATTTAAATTTGGAAAAATGGTATTATTATCCCAATAGAATTTCACAGGTAAAGTAATTACTGCGTTTTTGATGTTAAAACCGCAGGAAATAAGTAATTTTACCACAAGGATTAAATGTTTAGCAGCTGCAGTTACAGGGTGGGGATGTCGATCGAATAGCGCGCAACTGCCGCAACTGCGCATCGCATAGTTTCAGTGCACTATCGACTGCAGAGCAAGGAGGATGGCGTTCAGAGCCCGGACAAGACTTTTAGTTCAAAAAGCGCGAAAAAATTTTGAAATGCAATATTATAATTCGACGGAATCGACGCCGACGGTAAGTTAAAAGTCATTATTTTTCAATGACTAAATTATTATATGCTTACTGTAATGTAAAGTGGAAATCAAATATAACGGTTTTTAGAATATTAATGAATTGCCCCTTATGCCTTACATTAAGTATGAAACCACCTCGTATTTCAACAGCAGTATTGAAAATGCTTCTGATAAGGAAGTTGCTTTAAAAAGGTTGCAAAATTTTTGTAATGGACCCATGACAGTAATAGAAGATACTGAAAAAAAATTGGTCAATGAATATGATATTTCTGAGGAAGATAATACCGAGTTTGATATTGAAGCATTATATAGTCCTTGCGATGACAGTGACGCCGATAAAAACTACCAGCCTAGCGGCAGCAGTAGCGAATCAGAAAAGGAAGAAGAAACACAAAAAAGGAGTAACAAAAAGAGGGTATTTTTTCACAATTTTAGCATAATTCAATTATTCTCAATTAATTTTTTGTAGAAAATTTTGTCCGAACTAGTAAGAATAGATGCATCTGAAAATGTGGAAGACGAGGGTAATGTCAATAATAATAGTTCTGGAGGAAATAGAGATAAGGAAAATGAAACCACAAAAAGGGTAAAAATAATATTATAATAATTGTTATATTTTCAACTTTATTTATTTTCAGTTTTCAATGATCGAGAAATCTTATCAGTTAGAATCTACAGAAAATAATATGCCTGGAACCAGTGGAACCAGCACCAAAAAGAAAAAATGTCGTCGTACAGAGCAAGAAAAAGTTGAACATGGTAAATTAAAACATCCGATGAGAAATCTGTGTTCAGGAAAATGTAAAAGGGATTGTACCAAGTTATCAGATGAGGATAGAAATAAGATATGGGATCACTACTGGAATTTAAACTATACAAGTAGAAGAAAGTGGTTAAGCAAACATGTTTCACTTGTTTCTGTTAAGCGTAGGATATTGTCAGCATCTAGAAATAGATCAGAGTCCAGACGATTTTCTTTGCCTCTTGCTGATTCGAAAGACGTTCAAGTTTGTCGACTTACATTTCTAAATACCCTAGGATACACCAACGATTCTGTAATAACTGAACTGGTGCGAGCTATTAAAAAGAAACCCTGTGGAGAAATGGTAAAAGAATGTAGGGGAAACCATAAAAAAGCAATTGACCCAACATTCATTAAAGCCCATATTGAATCATTTCACCCATTTGTCAGTCACTATCGCCGAAAAAATGCACCACTACGTAGATACCTGTCGAGGGAATTAACTATTGATAAACTGTACAATGATTTCAATGAAAAGAATCCTAATACATGTAAAGTTGAGACTTACAGAAAAGTTCTAAAAGATATGAATATATCCATGTGTCCTCCTAAATCCGATGTATGTGAAGAGTGTGAGACAATGGAAAATGATGATGATGATCAAGTGAGGCAAAAATTACATACACATAAACTAAGAGCTGCAAAGGCTACTTCACAATATAAGAAAGATGCAGAAGAGGCATCTACTTCTGAAAATGCTACGTTGAAACGTACATTTTCAATGGACTTACAAAAAGTTATGCTCCTACCCATAATGCCTGCTTGTAAAAGCTCTTTTTTTATTAGCAGGCTAGTAATATTTAATGAGACTTTTGCAACATTAAATAAGGAGAGCCGCAAAAAAAGTTATTGCGTTTTATGGCATGAGGCTCTTGCCGGCAGAAAGGCAGAGGCGATTGCTGATTCGATTTTAAAATTAATGAATCAAGAAAGGGATGCGACCGAATTTCTGTTTTGGGCAGATAACTGTACAGCCCAAAACAAAAATTGGGTGTTATTTACAACTCTTGTAAATGCAGTTAATTTACCAACTGGCCCAAATAAGATAACAATTAGATACCTCACCAAAGGTCACACCCATATGAGCGCAGACGGAATACATGGAAATATAGAAAGAAAAATAGGGCGGAAACGAACAATTACTGACTTTCAGGAGCTCGTAGAAGTTATTCAGGCATGCAGGAAAAATGTCGATGTCCTTCAACTAACCGAATTTCATTTATGGCAAAATAAAAAGAGAATCACAAGGAAGCCGGATGACCCATTGAAAGGGTTTCTTATAGGTGAGCTGGTTGAAGTAACTTTTTGTAAAGGAAGTAGAAACATAAAATATAAGCTAGATTTTGGAGGCGAAGAAAAAGAGTTAGATTTTCTACAAAAAAAAGTTATTTACCTATTGTTCCTGAAATTTTACCAGCAAGAGGAATTTCCGCTTCTAAAAAAGAAAAAATTTGTAAAGTTTTGGTTCCTTTAATGCCTTTAAATCGAAGAATATTTTGGGAATCTCTTCCAGAGTCTCAAGGGTCTTTAGATTTACTGAATGCCGAACAAAACATTGAAAGCCCGCAGGATGATTCGTAAGGAAATTTAATTTTCATTCTGTTTTTTATATACCTCTTTTCTTTTACTTCCCTATTGAAAAAAATCGTCAGCATCGTTTACGATTTTTCTACATCTTCTTTTCTTTTTTCTGGTAGAAGTTCCTTTTTAGTTGTAATTTAAGAAGTTTTCTTAATATATCTATATGTGTTTAAAATGTCTTTTATTTCACATCATGCAAAAAAAAAACAGTAACTACCAAAAAGTTAAACAAACACCAAAAAGTTCACCAGGGTATAACACAGTAAATGTATTCACTGTGTTTTGTCATTGAGACTTTTATTCATTTATATTTAGTAAGATATCTTACTGTGTTATTCACAGATTTTTTCTAAAAATACTATATTACTTTCCATGGCGAATCAAAGTTTACTCATCTTTTCAGAAAACGTTGGGAATATAGGTTTTTAGATAATATAGAAGCAAGTGTTAACTAATTGTATTGATCTTGTCCAAAATTGAAAGTGTTATGACCATTCGTTTTGACAGGCTAATTAATTTTACAAAAGTTCAATTTTCTTGAAATAAAAATCTGAGCGGTTACTGTGTTTCTGCCTGGGACAGCCGAGGTGAGGCAGTATCCGCTGTCAAATATTGGAATTTAGTGTTCAAAAGTAGGGTAAATATCGCAGATTTTGATGAAGCAAGTATCGATTCTTACTAAGTCGACCAAGATAAATCGAAAAATGTCAACCCTTTTGTAATCTGTCAAAACCATGCCAAACGGCAGCACTCCATATTTTCCAGTTTTCAATATTTCATGATGTCATTTGACAGCTTATGTAAATTCTGAGTTAACTATTGAAAAAAAACTACAGAACTGTCAAAACCTGTCATTTATTTCAGTGGGAAAAAAGATTCATATCTGGTTCTTTCTTGTTTTAAGGTAGTTTATTGGCAATTGGAACATCAAGCAAAGCTCACCCGACATCAAATTTTGACAGCTGTCAAATTCTGAAACCTGTGTATAAATTTTTTTTATGCTTCATAATAAATAAGCATAACTTAAATAATTGGAACACAACAATTTTTTTTTTTTCAATTAAAGCTAATGTCAGATTCTGACAGCTGTTAAAATTTGATGTCTATGAGCTTTGTTTAATGTTTTATCACCAATCTTCAAACGAAAAAGAGCCAAATTGGAATATTTTTTTACTAAAACAAATAACAGGTTTTGACAGTTCTGTGATTTTTTTTTCAATTTTTGAACTTATAGCGTTTTCTGTTGGTAAAACTCGTGCTGTCCGAGTTCTGCACTCAACACTGAATCAGTTCACGTTTAGTGCAATCTCAAAAGATCATGAATTTGGCGCGTTTTGTCATTCTTTTAAAATTTATTATTTAACGATCCCTGATCCCTAACCTAACCTAAAGACATTTTCAATGGAATAAAAATTAAAAACGTTTGTGTGTATGAAAAAGTTGAAAACGGAAGTTTTTCCTGTATGTAAAGTACATAATTATGCTGTCTCCCGAGATGTGCAGAAATAATTCCAATGATACCTGCGTTGAAATTAATTTTTATGTAAATTTCAATAATAAAATTTTGAATTTTTTGTATCTCATTATCCCTGGCAAACATTCAGGCCTATGATGTATTCTGTCCTGTTATTTCAACGTCTGTGTTAAGGCTCAACATCTATTTCTGTCTCTATTTTGATGTTGCTGCTAAAATAACAGAAAATGATACATCATAGGCCTGCGATTGTATATAATATAATAGATCCGATTAAATTTCATTGGTTGAAAACAGTCAGAAAACTAGTTTTAAGTTAAAACTAGTTTTCTGACTGTTTTCAACCAATGAAATTCACTCTGACTGGTTTGTGATTTCTGCAGAAACAGACCTAATAATTCTTCCTCTTCATCGCTGTCGCTCGACGAAGATAAAAAATATAGAATTTTATCAATATCGATATCCATAATTTTTTGGTTTTGTTTATACACAGACTTTTCGGCACTTAACGCCATTTTTGTTGTGCCCTGACATTGGCACGAGCTCTCTGACCTCGTGCTGGAAAAGTTGCACGAGGGCAATAATTGATTGCCCTGGTTTTCCAATAGAACATAAAAACCCGCTCGGAAACTGCCAACAGAACATAATTTTTGCATGAGTGCAGCACGAGTTTTACCAACAGAAAACGGTATTAGAATTTACATAAGTTGGAACTGTCAAATGACACATCATGAAATATTGAAAACTGAAAAATATGAGTGGTGCCCTTAGAGCAGGTAAAGGTAAAGGAGTAGTAACCTGGATTTGGAAAATGAAGCCGTTTTTTTCCAGATATTTTGGCCCACAAAAAATGGCGGTTATGGCAATTCAATGCTCTACCTGTATTTTGGTGCCAAACACCTGCCAAAAACTTAGCTTCACTTTAGTTTCATAAGCAGAATGGCGCGTTTCTACTCCTTATGTCCGTAGGACAGCGCTTTACCTGCTCTAAGGTGGTGCCGTTTGCCGTTTGGCAGGGTTTTGACAGATGTCAAAATGGTTGACATTTTTCGATTTTCCTTGGTCGACTTATTAGGAATCGATATTTGCTTCATCAAAATCTGCCATAGTTACCCTGCTTTTGAATATTAGATTCCAATACTTGACAGCTGATACCGCCTCACCTGTCATATATACAAGGTTGCGCCCATGGTAAAAAATGTTGCTTACGGCATTTTTAATAACATATTTAAATTTCATCTAAATATCACGGGTAACCAATTTCCGTTTAAATATTGCGGGGTCCTTCAAATTCCTACCAAAAGACAAAAACTAAAGCCAAAAAATTTAGATTAATACCAAAAATTTTTTGCCCAAGGCGCTATTTTTGCCTGCAGCGCTGTCCCTCTAAATTTGACCCACCTGTACAAAAACTCACGAGCTGCGCCTGTACTACAGGATGGTTTTTCCTCATAAGGCCTGTGTGTAACAAATTCCCTCCTTTCCCCCCGCGCCAAAACACCAGTTTTGACGTTAACGTCGTTAACAGCATGTTATTTTGGCCTTGACGTAGGCTGTTTCAACAGCTACTTAGTTATGACGTCGGCAATGGTGGCACACTAATATGGCGGCGATTACCAAAAACGAGACCGATAAGCACTCCTTAGTTAGAGTGTGTATTCTCCTTGAATAACCCCCACCATTTCGGACTTTTGAAGCATGAAACACCGAAATGATGGTAGGTGTACGGGGGGGTGGGCGATGAAAGAAATTAGTAGTTCAAAGGCATTTTCTCGCGGGGTGAATGGTTCAAACTACGGTTTAAACCGATTTGTAGATGACGTCATCAGTTGTGAACGCGAAAACATGGGAGGTTTGAACCACAGTCCTATGTCAACGCAGAACAAGCCATGAGTCTGGTTCGAACTTTTTTGAACCAGGTTTAATGTGACATCACTGGTTCAACGCAAGAATTAGGTTAGAACCTAATCGGACCGGATCGAACCAGTTCCACCGCGAGAAAACAGCTCAATTTCCTATCTAATGGCGTTTCCGATTGGTAGATCTAGTGCGGAACTAGTGCAATTTTTTCTATTTCTGTCTTTTTCTTCTACAGGTCGATTAAAAGGATGCAAATACACTCAGTGCGCACTGAATCTACCAATCGGAAACGGGAAACGCCATAAAAAAAAAAGTAAAAAACTCCGAATGAATAACCCGAGTACAAATAGGATGCTGATTGACATTTGTCGGCTCTGGGTGTCCTATTTCACTCTAACACTGTTCTAAGTAAGCCTTGAACGCCAATAATGTTACTCTATTTATTCCTAATTTAAAACACAAAGCTTATGTGCTCTTCTCACTTCAAAAATGTTTCAACATGACTTCAATATGTTAATCACTACTCTAACCTTGCGTTTGGTATTTTGCTCAAAGAGCAGAGCGTGCTGAGCGTAGCCGTAATCACGTGACCAGTGAGCGAGCCGAATAGTTGAACGCTGCATCAGAGTGCCCAAAAATTTTAATAAAGAACGCGAGTTGAGCTTGCAACGAGTACACTTTTTAAATAAACGAACGGTAAATTCAAGCTCGGAGAGCTCAGATTAAAATACCGAACGTATAAGGATCTGTCATTCGGAATAGAATTCTATTTATGTTATTTTCAAGTGATCAATTCCAATCTTTATATGGAAAAAGATTTAATTGAGAGTAAACCTTTTTTACTCCAAACCAAAGGAACTCGGTCGAATGCAATGAAAATGTCAATAATATCCGGAAAACTCTGTTCTAACTCCACTTCGACGTGAATTGAAGGGTCTTAGAGTTTACTCTCTCTCTGTACTTCTTTTTTGATACCCGAATGCCAATAATCTTACTCCGTTCACTTTGAGTAAAATATTTGTTATTTGTCGTGAAATTGAACGTTTGGAGTAAAAAAAATCTATTTTGAATTAACGAGACATCGGTTGAATGCACTTATTATCAGTACTTTGGTTCGTATTAAGGAAATCATTAATCTTCCGAATAAAATTCTCAAACCGGAAGAAAAAAATACTGTTCTCTTTACTCTGAATATACTCTAACGGCCATCAGTTCCATAATCACGAAAAAGCCTACTTTATTCTTAAAAGGCACCTTTAACTTCTAAAATATGTTCCATAAACAGTTTTTGAAGAAGCTATTCGCATTTTTTTTGATACACGCATAAAACGTCAAATTGTCAACGCAATGTCAAAAAAATGCGAATTT